CTCGAGTAATCTTTTAATTGGTCTATTGATAGTTTATTTTGGCTGACTACTTGTATCACAGGTGTTTGTAAAACGGAGCTCATTAACGAAGTTTTGTAAATCTACTCACTAGTATCATTGTAAAATATGTGATTTCAAAAGGCCCTTCACTCCAGAATGAAAAGATGGTAGCTGCTGGTGTAAGTATGTATATTGATATAAAGCGGTGTTTTACTATACATGTTCTTCTTATATGGTAAGATGACTAAATAAATTGACCAAAAGCAGGCAATAATTAAATTGCAGTGGAAACTTTACATGTTTTGAAAACATTTTTTAATTTCACAGTAAAATTACAGCTATAATAAATTTGAAACATATAGATAGTTTGTCCCCGTAGATATAGTCTAGCAGATAGGCATTAAAAAGCAACTACCAATAGATCAGAGATTATAGGTTTTGTGTTTTGTGTTTTTTTTTATTATTTCAAAGTACAAAACTAAAAGATTTATCAGAATATGTTTATATATATATATATATAGGTGGCACATTATCTTCAGACATAATCTCAGTTTTTCAATTCATGACATCTTCCTAAACATGCATGAAATATTTGCCACTGGACATTAAGCAACCAATAATCAATAAATCAATCAATTCATGACGAAACAGATCACCTTCCTTAAGAAAGTTTAAAAAAATTATCACCAAGTTGCTTTAATTTTCCTTCAAAAGGTTTCATAGTACACACTTTTTTGTATACAAAGTAATTGCATGGATGATACATTATCATAATTTTAAGATATCGTTGTACTCTAATCAAGGTATAAAGAACCATATGTATTACCCTTTATTTAAATGATAAAATTTGCAATTGTCAAAAACATTTTTTAGATCCAAAGATTTTAATAGCAGGATATTTAAAAGTCAACGTGAAAACTAATTACAAACTATTTAATTTAATTTGGAACACAGCATTTTATTTCAAAATAGCCAGTGGCAATTTTTGTTTTAAATATCTTGATTACGATACAATAAAATCTTACCCTTGTGGTCATTCATGCGTAGTTACTTAGTACACAGGAAAAGTATGTACTATGAAAATTAGAAGGCAAATATAAGCAATTTGATTGGACGAGAAGTTGTAAGTATGTGCTAAATAAGCTTTAGAATATAGCAGAGTGCTCTCGACCAATGAAATTGTAGGATTTGATGTCTCTTAATTGTGAAGAATGAATGTAAATCATGTTCTTAGTAAAGGATTATCCTATTGTTTGGGTCTATTTACAGTTCAAAACAAAGAGTTTCTATAAAATAGTAACAACTGCCCTGAAGCACATTTATCAGATTGAAAGGATTTATCACACAGTGATTGTTGAATTGTGAAACAAACAAAAAAATCAAAATAAGTTGAAGTTTACTGGTGCAGTAAAATTGGTAGCTTTAATTAATTATGAAAATATTAATAACTTCAAATTACTAAAAAATTAAACAATATCAAAGCAATACAAAAAAAAAGTTTTAAAATCAAAAACAACCAAAATCTTTAGCTTTCCAAAACTCTGATTACTGGACCAGCGGTTGGGAAAAAAGAGTTATTTCCAATGTTCCAATAAAATAAAATAAAACAGGAATTTAATTTTTGAACATATATTTAAATCTTTTAAAATCATTTTATTTGAACATTCCCCTGACATAATGAAATAGTATTTGATTTAAAAAGCCGGACCAAAATATTGGCTGTGAAATAAAATTAGTTGTAACTCAAATGTATTTGTTGATTTAAACTGTAAATAAAAAAAGGATAATTCCTCACTAAAATATTACATGATTTACATTCATACTCACAATCAGGAAACATATACAATTCCTACCTTTTTCTTTGTATTGTTGTGTCACCTAATGTATAAAATGCATTTTTATTTAATACTCCCAAATTATAAGAAAGTCCTGACATCACTAAAACTAATCCATAAATGAAATGCCTAAAAAGGAAGTCATGCATAAATTATAAACATTGCACTGACAATGAAACTAATTCTGAGTAAAACCAATCAAGAGATCATTTGAGCCTTGAGCACTTTACAATATTCTAAGTTTGTAAGAGAATGATAATCCCTTACTTCATGATAAGTACTCGCTAACGCTCGTACTTAATCATGAAGAAAGGGATTATCATTCTCTTACATATACTTAAAACAAATCTTTTAAAGTTTTGTGAAAAGAAAGTTTCATTTTGTGTATCGAAATGTGTAACAAGTGATCATTTTTTAAATCTCCACTGGAAGGCCTCTGGCGGACTGAGTGAGCATAAAATCATTGTTATCGATAGCCAATGGAAAACAAGTTAAAGGTAAACAAAAGTTTTACGGTTGTCTACGCTGTTATGAAAACGATTCTATATCATGATATTTAAAATTACAAGGTGCTTTTGAGTTTTCAAGAGAAGCCACCTACAAATCTTGTTGCACTACTTGGTTCATTTAATATTTTCTTACTAAACCAACTTCTGAAGGCTTCATTCTGCAAATGTATCGTCAAATCGGCAATAATAGTTGGTTTTGATAGGTGTGCTTATTTTCTGTTATCAAATAGATCTTCAAACACAATTCAAAAATCTGCCTTAAATTAAAAACCAGGCGGGAAGTTTGGGAATAAATATTTTACGAAGAATTATCAATCAACAATTAAAGGTTCTTTCAGTAATATTGCTTTACATTTTATAGAACACGTCACACTAATATATGATATATCTCCAACATTTTGTGGTTAACGAAGGTTAGTTATTACACATATATAACTATTAGTACATGTCGTTGTCTGTCTTTTATTATATCTGTAAATAAATTTGATGTGACTTACAAGTATCTTTGACAGTATCTAAATTCCCCCCAAGGGTGACTGGGGAATAGAAGTATGGTCACCATTGTTCTTCCTCCGACCGGCGGTAAAACCCTCGTCAAAGTGGGGCGTCCGTTTGGCTGTGCGGGATGTACAAATTTGCAGCCACGTCCGGTCAGAATGGGGACGTTAAATCCGATGCCTCGTGTAAAGAGAGTGCCACGCTCTTTGCACGTTAAGAACCCTTGCAACAACTCTTTGAGGGGTCCGTAGGTGACCTGTTGCAAGGCTAAATTTCTGTCCCTATCCAATATACCCTCATTTCCCGTGGCAGTCTAAATTTCTCCGACCTTAATCCCTTAATCTATTACAGAACCTAACTATTGTATTTATTGTGAACTTGTTCTCGTCCTGAATATGCATGAAATATTTGCCACTGGACGTTAAGCAACCAACAATCAATCAATCAGTATCTAAATTCCATTGATACTTATCTCGACGTGGGCTTCCTATTTGGTATGGATGCTAGTCTCATTGACGGCTACATCACATTTTTTTTTATTCGTACTACTATTGGTGTTATCTTGAATATATTCATATCGAATTCAGTCATTTTAATATTCGTTCAACTTTGTGTTGTCGGCTCAGATATTTAAAATAAAAGCAACATTAGTTTCAATATAGTCATCAAACTAAGTTAACTCAAATGAGTTCACATCAGTTATTCGTTTTGTCTGAATATCTTATATAAGTTGAAGGAAAATACGTCACACACGGACAATGTAATACACCACTGCGTTGCATTGTTTTCAAATCAATACAAGGTTTTGTCTGTAAGGTTATTACGTTGCCTAGATTGTAGCGGGTATTGGATGTTTTTAACTGTTTGTATAGATTGATTGTATAAGCAAACGTTAGTTAAGAATTGAATTATATATATCAGGTCAGGACTCAAAACCTTTTTAATTTAAAAAAAAACAACATATGTTGACTTTGATTTAAGCTTATAAGTTCGAAGCAGACACATATGTCGACCGTCGGCCGTGAATAAAGAAAAAACATAGACAGATGTTCATTTTATAATATTTTAAGTTGAATTGAATAAACCTCAATAACGTACAAACAGCGTGTAGAAAGTTACCATTTTGTTTTGCAAAAATATTTCTCAAGCATTTTGAACGAATCCATACGCAATGTGCGTCGAACAGATTGTCAATGCTTTTAATTTTACTAATATTTTCAATCGTGTTCCCATTTTTCCAGTTTGAGTTTACTTACAAGCATTATAGCCGACTATACGGTATGGGTTTTCTCATTGTTGAAGCCCGTACTGTTGCCTATAATTGCTTACATCCACTTCATTTGAACTTTGGTGGATAGTTGTCTTATTGGCAATCATACCACATCTCCTTATTTTTATATTAGTATGTAAACCTTTTTTATAAATGCGTTAAGCAAGGGATTACACATACATTGAAATTGCATTTGGGTATCTATGATTAGTTTATATATGTTACATATAATGCTATATCCTGTTAATCAGTAATTGTCTTTGCATATTTATTGATGTATGTTATAAAATAATGGGTATTTTACTGTTTGTTTCATGTTCAGCTTCGTTCTGTCAATGTATGTCGATGCTTTATTTAGCTGACTGCGAAAAGGCTTATGAATACCTTTATGTAGTTTAATTGATATTTAAAAGCCATTGACCGAAGCACACTTAGTAGTAAACGGGTGTTGTTGCGCTTTATACTTAAAATGAACACCTCGTAAGCAATTTTGTAATGATTTTATGGAAAAAAAAACAAGAAAGTTCAGAATCATTTTTTTCGTTTAATTTGTTAAAATCAAGTCCTGTACAATTTTGTAAGTTTGTCATGAGTACATGTACAGCAATTGGTGGTGTGTCTAACTTGGAAATCACTCCAAAACACAAGTGTCGTTATTGTTGTCTTCTTTAAATTTTTGGTATCATATTGCAGCATCTATCATGTCTATGTACTGTAATTATTATAATAATGTATATTGATATTATTTGAATGGATTATTGAAAAATATACTTTTATTGTGACTTATGGAAGAACTGAACTTAAATAGCACATGTACTTTTCTAATCTTGTTCAATCCAGCCCATATTTAAACTTGGAATGTGCAATGTATTATAATAAAATGTTTACCTCCTAAAATGATATATATTCCTGTTACAATGCTTTTTCCTTTAAGCTCAACATGAAATGCTACACTAGATCCTATTGTTTTGGAACATGATGTTTTATTTCCATCATTTGCTAGATCAGCCTGTTGACTACCACTTGGACTCTGCCAGACCAAACCGTCGTATGCTATATTATCTGCAATGAAATATATGTATAAAATGAACATTATAAATGTTATATTAAAGGTAATGCATGACTGATTTTAAAGATGCAAACAACGATTTTTGATCGTACTTGGCTTTTATGACCTTCAATGACTATGACGATTATATACACATGTAGATTTTCGTCAACAACTGGTGTTAGCAAATATTTTAATATATGAGAAAAAAAAATTGTACTTTACGGACGAAAAAAAAAGATTTTAGGACAATTCAATAAAAAGAGTTGGCAAATACGTTTGGATACCATAATACAGAAAGGATAACAGGAATACAAAATATATTAAATTCTACAACCGAGCACCTACCAAAAACATAAACACTAAGGCCTCCAGTGATGTGTAACCTTCATATGAAAATTTAGCAAAGTGCTTTCACTGAAATCTTGCCAACACCGAATCACTGAATGATAAGCGAACGACTAACAGTTTTTAAAACAATCTACAAGTAGCGAAATATTTCATAAATTTGATACCTTTATCAATTCATTAAATTTCGTTGAATCTTTTATACATGCCAAATATTTGTTACATAGTTATATATGCACAGGGTTTCATATCACCGCGTAAAACATGTATTTTTTTTTAATAACCGCCACCAGGTACGCTCTTCAAAAAAGTTTTAAAAGCTTTAAAAGCTAAATATTTTAGATAAGTAATGACAAAGTTTGTTGATATGAACAACTCATTTGGTAAAATTTCTTGTGGTTCGTGCATGTGCTCAAATTGCTACTTACAAATTGATATAAAAATATGCAAATTTCGTCATTTTTTTGTATTGGAATTGGAGTTGTGCTATCTGTCCAATGCCAAAATCTTCGTGAGTATTCATAATTTGCATATATTCTATTGTTGAAAATCTGAACATACTTAGCTATCATATTAACTTGATGATAAACAGAGACTTAAAGTCTAACAGTCTTCCATTCTAAATATTTGAAGGCCCCTACCTTGTATTGGTTACCTACACTACACAAAATAAACCGTAGAATATCGTTTCATCTCGGCTTCTAGAAAGTGTTCTACAACGAACTTCCAGTGCTTTTAACTAGTTCCCTAACTACTATCAAAGAACTTTATAACTTTTGTAATGAAACATATCTAAATAGTGGAATAACTTTTTTTGGAGTGTAAATTTTATTTTGGGATGTTTAAGATAAATTACTTGCTTTTAATGGTCCTTTTAATTCGGTTGACATTTTTGACTTTTCTACTCTTTACACTACACTTCCGCACAAAAGTTTTCCTATTTTATTAATAGTCGTTTGAAAAATCTGATTGCAAATTTATTTCCTGCAACTCATTTAAAGCCTTCTTCTCTTATGAGAACGGCAAGGTAAATATGCTAGATATACTTACTGGAGGTATGATGAGATGATTAAAGCTGTAAAATTATTCTCAATTGCAACATTTATGTAAGTTTTATAAAATAAAGTTTAGGTTGTAGGTATTCCTATGTGCACCAATTGCACCCATTCAATAGCAGACTTGTTACTGTACTGATATGGATCACTTACTCCATGGATTTGTTCTTCTATTCACAGTTGCGGCGTGTTCGTCAGTTTGCAAAGAACTCCGCTCAAATCAGTGCCAGGGGCCGTCTTAAACTTGCAGTGAGGGGAGAGTTTTTTTTTGTTGATCCGCGTTGAAGGCCTCACTGTGACTTTGAGATGAAGAACAGCAACAAAAGCGTTGTCCCTTTGCTTTTTGTGTTGTTTTTTTTGCTATGCATATACTGCTTTTGTGTCATGGATGGATATCCCGTATCCTTTCTTTTCTCTTCTATTAAAATCAGTAAAGACCCGTCTAAATTCCATTTAATTGGTAAATTCAACAATACGTCCCGTTATCTTGATTTTTTTTCGTTGAACAATCAGGAATTTTTTTAATATACTGCCGAAATTTACCCAAAGGAACTTACTTTAAATGAATCAAATAAAAATAGCATTACTTGTTCTTTCCTAGATTTAGATATTTCAGTTTTACACGGGAAACTCTGCACAAAATGTACGGTGACCTAAAGTTGTTGTTAACTTCTATGTCATTTGGCCACTGATGGATAGTTGTCTCATTGGCAATCATACCGCATCTTCTTATTTTTGTCTTCCAGTTGCAGAATATGTCATCTACTACTGAAAACTTTTTCAGTTCCAAGGACACATCTCTGTGGAAAAATCTGCCTGATGAACGTACACGAGAATATTCAGGAATATAAAATTAATTCATTAAACAATTGTGATTATTTTTCAGTCACCAAGAGAATCCAAATAAAAGTTAAAACAATCTACCGTAATTTTAACCGGAAGGAATTTAAAACGTGCAACATAAGTTCCAATATAATTTCATCATTCATGATATTTGTAAATTTAGGGTAAAAAGTATCATTTAAAACATGCCAATTTTGACGCGATGGACAACATGTATAAAACGTATTTGTATAGTAGTTTCAGACAGGTAAAAGACCGGCGAAGGAAGCTATACATATCATCTTTTATACATGCTGAATATAGTGCTAGATATCTACATGATATCTAGTTATAATATTGCTATGTATTCATAATCCTTACACATGTCACAATAGCTTCCGGTACGTCTTCTTTCATTACAACCTTCGGTACAAACTGCAGTATCTTTATTGCAAATATCATTTAAACAGTTTTTAGGGTTACAACCCCAAACACAAGAACCATTTCCAGGGAAGCAATTTCGTTCTATACATTTTTCAGCACAATTATCCTGGCAATTGCTTCCCCAAAAACTCGCTTGACAACCTGAAAAAAACATTGTTAAAAAATTCAAAGATTTATATCAATCATTGATGCATACAGAAATTCTTTTTAACATGGAATGTAATAAAAGTATACATGATATATTCAACAGTACAAAATTTGATGAGTGAAACCTCCTAAACTGATAGAAGCCTAGTGCAGCATATTAAAAATTATAAAATGTGGAAAACTAATAATTAACCCACCATTGATGGCAACGTAACAAAGTTCAACAATGGGTCCCTGCTTATCTTCTGCCATAGATCCTTTAGCATCATAATAAATGACATATTTTCCGAGTTTATTGCAAGGAATTGTCTGGGTTATGTTTGGAAAATCTTGATCAGTATCTTCATAACAGAGATAGCCATCAGGTGGAATAGTTGAAATATTGGTTACATACAATTTAAATCCATCCATACGATATGCTACTGTAATGAAAATTACTCAAGTATTAGTTTTGAAAAAAGCAAACTATCATTACTATATATATATATATAAACACTAAAATTTACGACAAAAGGGAAGATTTTTCGTTTCCTATTGTTAATTTTCCTTTTTTGGATGGTGATGTTCCTTTGGCACCATCTTACGGTGTTTATATATCACAACTCGTTCGCTATGCCCGTGTCTGTTGTGATGTTTTGGGTTTTAATGAACGTTATCTATGTATTACTGGTAAATTATTAAGTCACCTTTCGTTACCACAAATTACTTAAAACCTTTACTAAATTCTTCCATAGATATAAAGATTTGGTTTTGAAGTTTGGTTGTACCTGTAGAAAACTTATTTCAAACGGGATAGCACATCCTCATTTTTACGGAGATGTTGTTTTCCGAGCCCGGAAATTTAGAAACGACCCCGGTAAACTTATCGATCCTTTAAATAAACTTATTCGAAAAGATTACCAATTCAACACTGTAATTATATCTTTGAATATTGTTTTTATTGGTATTAATATTGATTTTGTTATCAGTAAATTAAATTCAAACTAAATATTATTGTTATATACATATGCACATTCATAGCTCTACAATCTGTCGATACCTGTATTTGGCATTGCACAAGGTCATGTTTTTCTCTGACTGTTTATGACGTCTTTACACTAAATCCATTGGAAGTTGGATGTGTACTGATTGATAATTTAGTCTTAGATACATGATTTTTTTTTCATTAGTTGTTATTGGCTTTGAACTAGCTGTCAGTAACGGTGAGTACTCTCATATCTGTGCTAAGTGTCTTTTTGTTGTCGGGATGTACAAGTACCCGTCCACGTCCACTTTGTGTTTTTGTTGGATGTATTTCTATTTGTATCCATCTGATGAGTTAAGCCTTTTTCAACTGATTTTTATAGTTTGTTCTTATGTTGTACTGTTACACCACTGTCCCCGGTTAAGGGGAGGGTTGGCGCCTTCAAACTAGTTTAACCCTGCCACATTCTGTATGTGCCTGTCCCAAGTCGGGAACCTGTAATTCAGTGGTTGTCGTTTGTTGCTGTGTTTCATATTTTTTAACGTTCATTATTTTGTACATAAATTAGGCCGTTAGTTTTCTCGTTTGAATTGATTTACATTTGTCATTTCGGGGCCATTTATAGCTGACTATGCGGTATGGGCTTTGCTCATTGTTGAAGGTTGTACGGTGACCTATAGTTGTTAATTTCTGTGTCATTTGGTATAGTGTGGAGAGTTGTCTCATTGGCAATCATACCACATCTTCTTTTTTTTTATACTAATACGCAAAACTGTCAATGTTGAGCACAAGCAAAATAGAGAGTTTCAAAAGTCTGTAGTTGCTATCTTGTATCTGTGCGGAGAAACTGTTCTTTCTGTCAGATTTAAAAATGACAAGATATTAACAAGTGTTGTGAAATGGCCTTTGGGACACCATACTGAAAATTAATCAGGAAAATAAGAACCTTTTTCGAACGCTAAAAGACAAAAAGCAACAAAAAATATAAAAAAAAGTTTTTATGAAATGAAATGATAATTGTAAAATTTAAAGAAAACAAAAAATCTAGAAAATAAGACTTAGTCAGTTTAAAAGACAACTCATTTTGGGTGCACCATTTCAAACAGAGATACATCAATTCCTGTATACAATAGTAAAAAAAGACACCGTTTTAAGCACTATTGATCGAAAACATAATGTTTTTGTGGTAGACATAATGCGCGTCTGGCGTTCAAAAATTTAATCATGGTATATATAATGAGTTTATCTGCAATCATTATTTCCTAGATTATAACCTAAACCAGGCTTATTATTTTGTGCGCCAGACCCACGTTGTATTTTGTTGTTCATTCTTTCGTTTCATGAGGACAAATTTGTGGTAAATTGATTGTTTATCTTTTCATAGTTTTTCGAGTAACAAGACAATTCACAAAGACGGCCGACTTTTAACTGCTACATGTATAAGCCAAATATTGTACCAGCATAGCAATAAATCAAGTAGTGTTTTGGTCTAAATATGATCGATTTTAGAAAACATATTTCTTTAAACATACTTGTATAATATCTAAAATTGCCTCATCAAAAGAAACGCCTGAAATTTGATGATTTTATTGAAAGAGAGCCTGGAAAGCACAGATAAGAAAGACATTTGTGATAGACATTTATAGGTAAAGCAGAGTTCTACAATATATCAACTATTTTGATGAGATGTCTGATTATTGAAAGAAGCACAGACGCCATATTTTTTTATTAAATTCTAATTTTAATTGATTTAACAATATATAAAGAAGTATCATGATGTAAACGACTGTCATTTGGGACTTTTAATATATCATTAGTGTTCATTAAAGACTTATGATAGAGACTTGCTGCAAATAAGGAAGCTATTACACCATGGGGTCCAAGTTGTTAAGTTGAAGTCATCCCTTTGAAAATTTCACGGAAACATTTGAAATATATTTCCTCACTACTTAAGCAATACTATAAACAAATAGAAATATTTTTGAATAAAAATTCATTATAAACATGGAAAATTAAAAAAAATAACTAACAGGGAAAATCATTCTAACTGTCCCGGTTCCAAATCATGATCATAGAGCTGCTTTAATACAAGTCATTTAAAATTGTTCTACCCTAGAATAGATACTAACAGCTATACCTAGAACAGATCCTGACATTTCTACCCTTAAACTGATTCTCCCAGTACTACTCTAGAACTGATTCTGACAGTATTAGGGTAGAATTGTTCTAGAACTGTTTAGAACAGTTCTATGAGAGATTATTTAGGCAGTTCTAAAAAGGGTTTAGAACTGATCCCGACTGTTTACCTTTCATCTCTTTCAATGCATATACTATTTCCGTGGTATAATCTATCACAAGTCTTTAATGAACACTAAAGATCTATTGAAGTTACATATACAATATTTTGGAAAATAAAGTAAACTATCAGATGACACCGGACGTGACTATTTTGAATCGAAAGAAGCTGATCATCTCATTTGTTTCAAAGAAATGAACTACAAACTGTATATTTTTGAAATCTGCGTAAAATTAAGTAAACTCTGAAAGCGTTTTTGATGTCAAAAGTTACTTTTTTGTAATTAAACAAAGTTTGGTTTTAATTCTTATATGATTTCTATAGCTACAAATATTTGAATGTAACTGGTTCGTTTGAATTTCCCTCTAGTGTACATAACGATAGACCATGCATTTTGTCGAAAATACTTTCTAAATCTCGCTGATTAACAAACTTTACATAAATGGCCTTCGGACGTTTATTCAGTCTGTGAGTTTACACATCAATAGCCGCTAGAAGAAAAAAAGTTTAATCCAATAATATTTACATTAGGTATTCACTTCATATAAATGCTGATGAATTGATTCCGTCATGTTTCCGTTTCGTATGAAAAACAACATAAGATTTTAAAAACACAAGCTCTGTCCAAAAATTTAATTTTCCAAAAACAAATACCAAAATAAGAAAAATAAGAGGGTTCAACGCCTAAAATGTCTGTGAGTAAAACAGTTGACTTCTTGTTTAATGCTTCGTTTGACATTTTCCAAAGTGGACATGATGTGTAACAATGCTTTTACTAAAATTCTAACTAGTGAATAACATTCCTTTTATTTTATTAACCGTTTAACAATGATTACCAAAGGATAACATATGTCAAACTTCTCTTAATTTATTTCACTTGGAAGGATCATACCTAATGTAATTAACAGTAAAAGTAACCCGTATTAATTACCCGGACCATACGCGTATGGTCCAAATACTCATATGGTCTGGAACAGACATAAAAGACAAATCAAGGTAACAAACAAACACGTCGACTGGGTAAACGTCTCATATTAATAATAAATCACTTGCCAATGCAAATCCACAATCACTCAAAATTTTACAATGGGTAATAGGACACAATCGATACAATTACAGAGTATATGACTATTCTGATTTAAAGAGCTAAGACTAAAACCATATCGCCAGTGAGTTAAGACACACACATATATATATATATATATATATATATATATATATATATATATATATATATATATATATATTATTTCTGTCAACCAATTCGTGGTGTGAAAGATTCTAGTTTATAGTCGTCCACATGTGTCAATATCAAGGAAACTATCAAGCTATAAAGCATCCCTTATACATGTTATAGTTTATGAAGTATCCTTAATCCCAAAATCACTGCGATATGTGAGATACAAATCACTGAAATTTAGGGGGTGCACAATTAGTACCTAATGGAATACCATCAAACTCAACACATATTTTGTTGAACAAATATATTTGTTTATGACGTTGCTTGATACTGTTTCCATCTGACAATTTCTGCCGAAATTTTGTGTTTAAAGTCTTACTTTCTGGTTCTAAATGTAAACATCAGAAATATTTTTTTTTTCATTTCGAAGCTCTGTAAATATGAGAATTGAATGCTGTTTTTTTTCAATTGAAACCAAACTAAAGCACGTGGCGATCCCTTTTTCTTTTCATCAAGAAGCGCTACCACGCATCATGCAAACTGTGGAAGTCATTTACTTCATTTCGTATAAAAAAATATTTCTTTAACAGTATTTAATTCTATATTAATTTTTACAATTAGAACTTTCGGCCCAACGTTATGTTCAATAAGTTAATTCGTCGTTGTATGCATTAAGGTCAATGGTTCTAACTTAAACATGTTAAACATGGAATCTTTAAAATTGTATTATAAAAAAAATAAGATTAAAAACTGCCAAATAAAAAAAAAACTGTCTTGGTGGTTTGAACGAATAAGACAAGCACTGACGAGGTTTCTGTCTTAAAACAGACCAAATGCATAGGTGTCGAGGTCTATCTTCTTAAAGACTAAAACCATCCGCATATGACAAATACAGTCGAAACAGAAATAACATCTGATTCAATTAAAAGGCTATTTTTCAAGAAATTTAAATAGAAGGTCTTCCACATGTTTTGGATAACGTTAGACTGCGGGATATCAAACATTGTTACTACGTATGATTGTATACTGTTGTAAATCAGGAAGTTACGAACAGATAAACATGTACGTATCCTACCTGAAAAAAAAGTGTACCATGTGACTTATGTTTTTTTTCCTTTTCTTTTTATATCTTATTGCACAAAAACAATTTTACTGCTCCCTTTAATGCTATAAAATAATGCTAATATTCCACCTTATAGTATTGAATTACTAATTTAACCAAAGAATTTAGTTAGCAATTACTTATTATATACGTATTATGAGTTAGTTGCAGTTGAGAAAGTATTTCTACAAACAAAAAAAAAGCTTTTAAGGAGCAATGAGAAATTAATTGATTTCTGTCCGCTTCTTGATTTCCCCAGTCTATTTTTTCGCCATTTCCTGTCGAATTTAATGATTGCTGTGTAATGACGTATGCTCATACTCATTGGACATTAACATGTATTCGTCCTGGATATGCATTTTACTTGCAACTGGATGTTATAATGCCATTCATCATTATAGAAAATCAGATTTCCAAACAGTTTCTTCAGAATTAAAAAATATACAGTGTTCTAGCTTGTCAAAAAAAGGTTGTTTCGTCCTTGATACCCTTACCCCTACCCCTTCTTTCCTTAGAAGCACATAAAGCATCAGTCTGTCCTACACGAAAATGAGCTTATCAAAATATCATTTTTCGGCATTTCCGTTAAATTGTTACCTGGTTGTGAAAAGAGAGAGAGAGAGAAGATACAAGGGGGCATTTAAAAACATAAGTACAATAAACACAGACAATATCATGTCCAAAAAATATAAACAACGAAAGGACAAACAACAATTACAAATCATCACATGGAAAACTAAAGTCTGAGCAACACGAACTCCACTAAAACAAGGGGTGAACTCAGGTACTTAAGAATTGTAATCCTGCTCTAAAACGTTTTACTTAAGAAACAATATAGTTTATGTCATTCAGAAAACTCATTATTATTTTTCTAGATGATAACAAATTAATGTTTCAATGACAATTGTACACATTGATAGCATATGTCTCCCAGAATCCCAAAGTATATGCCTTACTGAAGACGAACGGTACTCTAGTTTACCTTGATCTTTGATATAATTTGAGATTTAAAGGCGATTCTAGTTGTCTATCAGTTTCATTCGTTTACATGGGTTTCCATGTGATTTGATACACAGGTAGACCGTGTAAAACGTATCAAAGCTGTAGCTAGGCGACCACACTGTCCCACTATCAGTGGAAAACGCCATAGGTGGTGACCTAAATCTCATTTTTCAACTATGGAATCTTTGGTAGAAATATGATAATCAAACCATGGAAGTATTATATTGATTTTACTTCCATGGATTAATTAACAGTTTGTTGAAAATGAAGTGAGCCAACTAAGTGCGGTGGATTTCTTATTGTTATTTGAAACTTCATTTACTTCTTTGGTTTTCTATGTTGTTTTGTGTACTGTTGTTTGTCTGTTTGTCTTTTTCTTTTTTAGCCATGGCGTTGTCAGTTTATTTTCGACTTATAAGTTTGAAAGTCTCTTTGAGAGTTTATAAAAGAATACCATTTATAAATAAATTACACCATTGGAAAGGCAAATGAGAACGATAAAACTGTTTCAAATCCGCCATGACTAAATAACAACATGATTAAAATGTAACATTTATACAAGTTCAGTTTTGACTGGCCAAATACTTGAAAAGTTGCCGAATTAAATAACAATGTGTTGCTGTTTTTCTCTCCAAATGCGAAACATCAAAGATCGAAAATGTGATAGACGAATGCTAACAATCAACATTCAAATTGTATTGACGAATGGTAAAAAGGTGTTACATGCATAAACTTAAGATATTCTGGAAACTGTAATTAATTTGTGGGATTCAGATCTACGCTTTTTATTTTAAATTTACGAGGCGCGAAAAAAATAACAGGCACCAATAATGAGTGGTGTTATCATTGCCATGATATTAAAGTTTATAAAGTGTATTGAAGTTATACACATTTATACCCTAAGTATGCCAAAAATAAAATATTACAATAAGCTCGATTATGTGTATGATGTTTCGTTTCGAAGCCGAGACATTTTCACATGGTTTAATTTACGGGGTACGAATTGTGATTCATTTATCCGCAATTAAGAAAACCCCGAAAAGCCCTTTGTAATGCGACTTCTCGAGGTAAACAATCCTTTCTTAACACAATTTTTTAAAGGAAATTCAGTTCTTTGCAATCAATTAATAACTCCATAATTTATACATCATTATTCTATGCTCATCTGCTCTGTAGATCAGCACAAAATGGTTAAGCTCAGTCACTTGTTAGAATATAACATCATATCCAATACAGCCATTTTTCGTTTACACATTATATTTGAGCACCTCAATTTGAGGCGCATTACGGATATTGATGCAATTTACGCCAAGATTATTTTTTCTGTAAATACCTGTCCAAATCGATTCAAGATCAGCAATGCCAATGTTCATTCATAGTTATATTATGTGATACTGTATCAAACCAAACTCAAAAGTCAATTCAAGGTTTTGACAGTGTGCTTAACATTCAGGCGATTTCTATATGCCACGGGTCACATGTCATTATGCATTTACATGTACATTTGTATTTCGTATACACGTACTTACGGTTTATTCTGTAGTATAATTATTCGTATTTGTGTGTAGATTTTATATCCTAATGATGACTAGATTTTAGGAGTCAGTGAAAACGGTCACCATATGATATATAAAAAAGGTTTTTATACTTACAGTTTTCCCTGTAGTAAATAGTGACATCTGTGATGAATGTAGACTCGAAAGAAGAGTTAAACATCCACCATGCTGGAGATTTAAAATCGGTATTCGTGTGGGTACAATACCTATCACTCCATTTATTTGATACAGGTGAATGTATAGCATTGTATGGTCCAGCAATTCCAGATTGTGAACTTTGTGTAGCCTTCCCAAGTGGTGCTAGGTTCTCTTTTAAAAAAAAGAAACAGAACACACATAAAACATATCGCTTGATCTAAGAATAATGCATCTTAACAAGTATCAATTTTTCTCTAATTCTGTACGAGTTTTAACCAATTCTGACCAGTTTGATTAATTTAGATAAATTACATGCATAGGTTGATTAAATGTTCTTGTGTAATTTCTGCAATATATATTCGGAACATTGCACTAAGCATCACCCTTTTAACATGAGGGAAACAGATTCTACCTCACAACCTCTTTGTTCCTTTAAACTTACGACTCTGAGGCAGACTTCATGAGGAATCTTCTCAAGAAAAATAAAAAGAAGCTGACATTATCGATGCGCTTGCACTGAATGAATCAAAGTTTGATAACTATCGTAATGTTGACTGCATCTCTCCCAATGAACATGACATAAAGAAATACAGTTACGTTTGCCTTATATCATGATTTAGATCTAGAAATTGGCAATGAGGGTCGGTATAGAACTAAATTTTAAGTAGAAAGATATGATTGAAAATAACCAATTTCGATTTTGCTTTTACCGAATGGGACTTGTCAGCGAATTTTACTTGCACGAGCAGCACAACGGTTGCCACATGTGGTCACAGGAACTCCTTACCATTTTAGAGCTCATCCCCGGTTTTCGGTTGGTTTCGTGTTGCTCAATCTTAAGATTGCTGTGTAATGTTTTGTTCATGCATTCGTCTTTTCTTTATTTTTCTATTTTGTGTATTTTTAAATTGGAATTATGATTGCATATTTACTTCCCCCTTTGCATTTTCTCTGTTGTGATCTATCTATTGAACCATTTTTATACTAAAGCTGCTTTGGTAATTCAGGTGTTCCTGTGATAGATTGATGCTATCTCTTCGAAAATGCAATAAGACTTGGTATTGACTTTCTAATACGAGAATGCAAGTCTTCGTCAGATTTCAAGTTGTCATGGGAAGAAGACTGGTGCCACTATTTGAACAGGAACGTCCAACCCTTCTGAGACACCTTAGTTTGTCCCGCTTATTGTTAGGTCTCGATGCGCTTAGTATTGTTTTTTGTACTGATTTAATGGTTAAAAGTACTAAATACTTTCAAATTTTGACTTTTGGCTATCGTGTTTTCTGTGTTCTGCATTTTTTTTTAAATCAACAACGTCAAAAGTGCTTGTGTTTATTTATCTCTCTCTCTCTCTCCATATATATATCATTTGGAAAATGTTGTTTGTGCTGTATTTAGACCCCTCTACGAAGAAATTTGTTTTGCATGCACACGTATAAAAATTGCGGTTTTTATCCAACGCAATCATAGAATTGAACGTTGTTTTCAATTTAGACTTATTTATATTTTTTCGTTTGGGCTTGTATTATATTTGCCTTCGGGTTTATATGATCCGTTCATCCTATTCCGACTCTTCAAAAATCAAGAGTCTATCCTAAATTGAGGTAAATTATATGGCCTTCCAAATACCGTTTCGATTCCTAACATCACTGAAGAGACATTAATTGTCGAAATCCGGATATGGTAACAAATATTTTGAACCTCATGTTTGCGGTATACCATCTTTTCCGCAAGTTTATTGTTTTCTGTTTAGTATTAAATTTAAAATTAAGATCCATTTATTACATCGGTGATCCGTTTATTTGGCAATCGCCAATGGCAGTCAGCAGGGTTTAAGAACATTTGTTGTTCGATCTGTTAGTCAAATGCGTTTTGTTAAAATATACTTTTTCACTTTTTTGGTCTTTTGGAAAATGTTGTTTGTGCTGTATTTAGACCCCTCTAACAAGAAATTTGTTTGGCATGCACACGTATAAAAATTGCGGTTTTTATCCAACGCAATCATAGAACTGAACGTTGTTTTCAATTTAGACTTGTTTATATTTTTCGTTTGGGCTTGTATTATATTTGCCTTTGAGTTTATATGATCCGTTCATCCTATTTTGACTCTTCAAAATTCAAGAGTCTATCCTAAATTGAGGTAAATTGTATGGCTTTCCAAATACCGTTTCGATTCCTAGCATCACTGAAGAGACATCAATTGTCGAAATCCGGATATGGTGTACAAAAACCTTTGCACATTTTGTTTGCGGTATATCATCTTCTCCGCAAGTTTATTGTTTTCTGTTTAGTATTAAATTTAAAATTAAGATCCATTTATTACATCGGTGATCCGTTTATTTGGCAATCGCCAATGGCAGTCAGCAGGGTTTAAGAACATATGTTGTTCGACCTGTTAGTCAAATGCGTTTTGTTAAAATATACTTTTTCACTTTTTTGGTCTTTTGGAAAATGTTGTTTGTGCTGTATTTAGACCCCTCTAACAAGAAATTTGTTTGGCATGCACACGTATAAAAATTGCGGTTTTTATCCAACGCAATCATAGGTTTGAACGTTGTTTTCAATTTAGACTTGTATATATATACATGTATATACACACGTGTAAACATGTGACAACTTTATGACAGACATTCTCCATCGGATAACACTGTGTGACGTGGTTATACAGGGCTAACGCCATATATATATAAGTAGAATAAAGCATGATCAACTGCAAATCGAGTTTGTGACATATTAAACTACATTTTCTTCCTTATTATTATTTTTTTATTAGTTTCCGTAGAAGTTATGATCCGTGGTCTCCAGTCTACTTCTTAGTGAGGGATCGTTTCTATATCAGTTTGATTTGCTAACGCTAATAATGCTCACAATGATTCCTAAGATTTCATTGACCATACAATTTTTCTGTACTCGCAACAAGACGAAGTTTGTATCTGGACCTTAGTCGCAAGATTGTGTTTTGAAAAAACAGCCTTCGGCGCTATAACAATGATCATGTTATCAAGTATAAAAATTGCCAAATTAATTAAAATGTAGGAATACAGTCATATGAATAGAAACCTTATATTACAAATTAAAGATAGATTTGTATATTTTGTAAAGAAAGTTTCTTTGTTTGGTAAGTATCTATATATTGGCGATATCTAAGCCCCAAATGCAAAAAAGGAATAATATTATTATGCAAAAAAAAAAAAAAAAAAAAAACCGTTGACGTTACAGATTACACAAACTAGGTTCCAACTATAACATTGTAAGACAAATATAAACACCGTTTTAAATCCAGGAACACAACAGAAGAAATAGTCCAAATACGTTCAAAAATAGGTAACAGAACATTTATATATATGTGCAACATATGAAAATAAGGAGATGGGGTATGATTGCCAATGAGACAATTATCCACCAAAGATCAAATAAAGTGGATGTAAGCAGTTATAGGCAACCGTACGGCTTTCAACAATGAGAAAAACCCATACCGTATAGTCGGCTGTTAAAGGCCCAGACTTGAAAAATATGAAAGAATTCAATTGAGAAAACTAACGGCCTAATTTATAACAAAACAATTTACGAAAATCAAATATGACAGACATGAACCAACGACAATCACTGAACTACTGTGGCGGGGTTAAACATGTTTATGAGCGTTCAACCCTCCCCTAACCTTGGGCAGTGGTGTAACAGCACAACATAAGAACAAACTATAAAATCAGTTGAAAAAGGCTTAACTCATCAGATCGATACAAAGCAGAAAAACATCAAACATAAACACAGACCCTCATCCTTAACAACAAAAAGGACACTAAGTGCAGATCTGAGAGTACTCGCAGTTACAGACAGCTAGTTCAAAGCCAATAAATACTAATAAAAAAAAAATCGTGTATCTAAGACTAAACTATCAATCAGTACACATCCAACATCCAATGGATTTAGGGTAAAGACGCATTTACATGCCTGTACTGTGCTAAGCTTAAATAATGTTGAAGAACAATTTGTGTAATCTCTATAAGATACAATGACAAAACAAATAAGTTTCACAAATTAAAAACACAAGAAAATTTGTCTTTTGCACTCATCATATATGCATGAGTATCAAAATAGAGATGAGTCTTTCATATGTTCGATATATGAATATATGAAAGAGTGAAATGGCAATGAAAATATATAAATGTACATCGTTTAAGCATAAAGAACATCTTAAGTGATAACTCCTTACTCACTGTATAGTAAAAAATAAATAAGTAAACCCCTCCACTAAAAACCAAAATCAAAAACATAAACAAAAAACAACAAAAACCTAAACATTTTCATTGAAGTGCAATTAACAAATTTTGAATGTTAATCTAACTTACTTTGTGCCGAAACTGTCAACAGCATAGTTGTATGGATCAGTAACACAAGCAGCATATTAGATGGTGTAATGTCAGATAGGTACGGTCGGAACTATGGTAAAAGAAAACGAAAAAAAATGTTTAAACATGAAGACTTTTGATAAAAATTTATGAGTTAATGACAATACTGTACTTCTTGAAATAAGTACTTTTACACAAAGATGAAAATGACATTGATGATCGTAGCATGCTATCATTGCAATTAGCTACCTTGTGCAAGAAAAAAAAAAACAACTGCGATTCTGTCATATTTAAACAAAACGTCACAAAAAATCGAAAATAGGACATCTCAATGGCATAACAAATTCCTTGCTTGAGATACAATGCTATTTCGAAGAAAACAATCAATCTCAATTGAGATCTTACTTATCAGTTCAATGTGCTATTCTTCTTGCCGACTTGTTCCTTTATTCATATGAGGCTGACTTCAGAAGCTTCATGGGCTTCTTATGAAAAATGAAAGAAGCTAGCATTATCCTTTAACTTCACGTTCCGCTATGTAGATGAATATGTCCTCTCACTAAATAATTCAAAGTTTGATGACTATGTTGAACTCATCTATCCCATCGAACTTGAAATAAAGGATACAACAGATACAGTTAAGTCTGTAGATATAAGAAGATGTGGTATGAGTGTCAATGAGACAACTCTCCATCCAAGTCAAAATTTATAAAAGTAAACCATTATAGGTCAAAGTACGGTCTTCAACACGGAGCCTTGGCCCACACCAACCAGCAAGCTATAAAGAGCCCCAAAAGTTACTAGTGTAAAACCATTCAAACGGGAAAACCAACGGTCTAATCTATATTAAAAACGAGAAACGAGATACTCTTATGAACCACACCAACAAACGACAACTACTAAACATCAGATTCATGACTTAGGACAGATGCAAATAATTGAAGCGGGTTTAAACGTTTTAATGGTACCAAACCTTCACCCTTATCTGAAACAATAGTGTAACATCACACCATAGAAAGACACACTATAAAATATCAATTGAAATGGCTTAACTCAATCAAAAGACATATTAACACCAGTGAACATACACTGAACAAATAAATTTGATCTATGATACAATGCAAATACAAAATAAATAAACTAAGGGAAGAACAATTAAAGTAACATGTTATACCGCTGTGAAATGTTAAACAATATAAGAAAAACAATATGCTAGAACAAAAATATCAGCCATTTGCAATAACTTTAAACACAGGTAAATGAAAATAATTTTGTTGTTAGGTATACGTGTACAGTTCAAATAGAGAAAAGAAATATGCCCCATATCTTGACTTACATCTAGAAATTGACAAGGAGGATCGATTGAGAACAAAACTTTGGGACAACAGAGATGATTTTAACTTCCCAATTGAGAACTTTTCATTTCTATGTAGCAACATTCCAGTAGCACCTGCATATGGAGTATATATTTTCCAGCTGATACGATATTCCAGAGCTTGCATTTCTTATCATGATTTCCGTGATAGAGGGTTGCTGCTCACAAGGAATCTATTGATCCAAGAGTTCCAAGTGGTGAAGATGAAGTCATCCCTTCGAAAATTTTACGGACGCCTTCACGAGTTGTTTAACCGTTTTGAAATATCAGTGTCACAGATGACGATTGATATGTTCAAAATGTCGTAACCACAATCCCATCCCTTTTTCTTCAAATGTGACCTGCCAATTAGAGTTATCACCGGTTGTATGCTTTCATGAGCAACACAACGGGTGCCATATGTGGAGCAGTATATGCTTACCCTTCCGGAGCACCTGATATCACCCCGGTTTTTGGTGGGGTTTGTGTTGCTCAGTCTCAATGTTGTGTGTTTTGTACTATTTGTATTTTTGTCGTTTTTCGTTTTTTGCCATGACATTGTCAGTTTGTTTTCGACTTAAAAGTTTGAATATCACTTTGGTGTCTTTCATCTCTCTTTTTCAAGATACTAAGTGTATTGGGTTTCTAGACCGATAGAAATCTAGTTAAAATCGTGGTTTCTTTAAAGGATTAAACTTAAACATACATGTTTACTAGTGCAGATTTCATAGAAAAAAAGAATTTGGAATTATATGATATAGTCGTAGATGGAACCTTGGCCTTGAAATTATAAAATTATGTTTTTCCATAAGTACATGGGATAACTGAATTTATGCGAAGTTAAATGAGTTTGTATTATTTACATTTTGTTGTACAAACTTGACATTTGGGGTAAGTAGCAAGGGGATGCGCGTAAATTAATTATCAGCATCTACTGGTTTGTGACGCTAACACTAATGAAATTGTTTTCCCACCCGACAGAAAAAAATAATAGTTAATGGTGTTTATTTGTTCTAAATTTATCAGAAGAAACTGTACTTGAAACAGAAATGTATCCCTATGATGAAAAAATCAGCTCAGAAAATAATGGCCCAGGTTAGGGGTGGGTTGAACATCTTTAACCCCGCCATATTCTTTGTGTGCCTGTCCAAAGTCAGTAGCCTGCAGTAGTTCAGGGTTGTCGTTGGTTCATGTCGGTCATGTTTGTTCTGTTATAAATTAGGCCGTTATTTTCCAAATTAAATTGTTTCTTATTTTTCATGCCTTTTATAGCCGACTATACGGTATGAGTTTTCTCATTATTGAAGGCTGTATACTGTTGCCTATAATTGCTTACATCTACTTCATATGAACTTTGGTGGATAGTTGTCTCATTGGCAATCATACCACATCTTCTTATTTTCATACAGTTAGATTTATTGTTTATCTTTTCTCGTCCTGAATATGCATAACATATATGCAACTGGGTGTTAAGCAAATAACAGTCAATATCACTATAAAAAATCATCCCTTCTTATACATTACAGTTAAATTTTAAACTTTTGTGTGTGCAGGTTTCATAAAAATAAAAAAATACGAAATGATGTTAACAGTTTTGATATAACTCAATATGGAATAGTCATTACTTAGTGATATTTCGATTTTACGTGATATGGTTTCGTATTAACTTGATATGGTTTTTTCATTACTTAATATGGTTTTGTCATAACTCGATGTGATTTCATCATTATTAAACGTGGTTGTGTCATTAGTCAATGTGGTTTTAACATTACTTGATGTGTATGTGGCTTAACGTTATGTATTTGTTTCATTACATGATGTGGTTTTTGTTATTTCGTAATGATGATTTGCCAATTCTTTATATGGCTTTAACATTACATATTAATGATGGTTCAAAATTTGACGATTTTTCACAACATTATGTGTTTGTTCCTGTATTTGATGAGATTCACTTGTTGTCGAGATGCGAGTTGCGAGTAAAGAAAGTCGAGTTGCGAGTTACGAAGGTCGAGTTGCGAGTTAAGAAAGTCGAGTTGCGAGTTTCGAATGTCGAGTTGCGAGTTAAGAAAGTCGAGTTGCGAGTTACGAATGTCGAGTTGCGAGTTACGAATGTCTAGTTGCGAGTTACGAATGTCGAGTTGCGAGTTACGAATGTCGAGTTGCGAGTTACGAAGGTCGAGTAGCGTGAAAATGGGGAAAACTATTTAATATTTTGGTGTACCTCTTTAACATAATTTTTTGAATGATGATTGCTTATAGAATTGTATACAGTATTGTTGATTCTTTTTGTTGTTTGGACTTCATCTGAGTCTCGTGTAAAAAAATGAATGGATTGCTTACATAATCACTACGCAAGAAGAAACAGATAGCCTTTTGAAATACAGCGGATGGCTTGTAGTTTAATTATAATTATTAAATTTCATAGCTAGCACCGTCATAATAAACGTAAAGGGAGATAGCAACTAAACTATAATACATATATGTAAAAGATTTCGTTAAGAGTGGGTTCTTTGGGTGCAGCTGCAGAGGCAATATTTATTAGGGACCCCAAAATTTATTCTTTGGCAGTGACACTCAAAATTGTGGACGTATAAGTTATATATGTCTACATTGGCTAGAGGTGAAGGGGGAAGGTTGAGCACTCATAAAACCTGTTTAACCCCGCCGCATTTTTGCGTCTGTCTTAAGTCAGGAACCTGTAGCCTTTGTTGGACTTGTATATTTTGTCATCTGTACTATTATTTGTCTGTTTGTCTTTTTTATTTTTGGCCATGGCATTGTCAATTTGTTTTCGATCTATGAGTTTGACTGTCCCTCTGGTATCTTTTGTCCCTTTTTTTTAATTTTGGTTCATCTATATGTTTCGGAGCATAGAATGGCGTCCATTTTCTTGATCTAGTGTACATTGTGTTTCGGGGCCTGCTCGGGGCTGCCTCTGGGTGTGGGATTTCTCGCTGTGTTGAAGACCCATGGGTGGCCTTGGGTTGACTTGTATATTTTGGTTGGGTTGTTGTCTCGTTGACACATTCCCCGTTTCCATTCTTTATTCTATACATGTAGCTGTCAAAGATACTTTTGTAAAAGAGACAAAAGACGCAGTTTTGGAATATGTAACTTCTTTCTAAAAAATGGGTTAATCATACACCAATCAATCAAGTTAATTTAGGAATAACATGCTGACAAATATAAATCTTTTTAATTTTTTTTGACACGAAAGTCATTGTACTGTAGATGGGAAATTGATTACATAAAGTTTGAATTGTGTGTATAAAATATTATAAATAATCGTGTCCATGAACCAATCTAAGCAAAACCCACTATTATTATTATCGCCTATAGGATATTTTATTTCTTGTCCGTATCTAGATTTTATAATGATTTCCATGTATCGCTGTGTATACGTTATATGCAATTTTATATGTCTTCAATTAAATATTTTTTCTCAAGGAATTCAGAATCAAACAATTCTTAAAAACGAACCCTACGCCTCTCCAAATTATGGATGGCAGATGCCTGAAAGTACAACTTAATGCCATACTTACCCGGGTAAAAAAAATTCAGGTGCTCTCGTGACAGGCTATGCATGATGATAAAATGAAGAGGAAGCACATTTTTTAAGAAACATGTACAATATCCAGCTGATATCTGAAACTACAACATTTGTTTCAAGGCTGCATGCAGGTAAAATAGTAAACTTGTGACAGACAAGGCTTCCGTGCTCATGGGGGCGTAAAAAC